ATCATCTTTCGGTCCTAATTCCTCAGATCCATAAAACAATTGCTTCTCCATTTTGATCTTAATAGGCTCCCAAAAAAAAAAAAAAAAGCAAACCACGACACATACAGATGTCCTCAACTCACACACCACCGGACATCCTCTCCCACCACAGTTGCCGGGAAAAGGCACTGGAAAAAATGCTCCCACTCACGGGGAAAAACAGGCTCCCACAAATGCAAGCCCTATAAGAGAAAGAAAGGGGGTAGAACCCCCTCCTAAAAACTTATCCAAACACCCATATTTTATGAAAAGGAAAACTAACCTCCAAGTCCCTATACTTTACAACAATTTTGAATTAGGTCCCCTTAGTATGATTTGTTTGAATTGGGTCCTTATATTTTTGCTCTGTTAAACTCATTACTCCTTGGGCCTTTAGCACCGTTAAAATTAATTGAAGCGGCTGACATATCAACTACTTGGCGACTAACTGTGCACACAAAATCACTTTCCCTTTATATCTCTTATTTAAACACAGGTAAGTTTAATTATATTACAAGTTTGTGTCTCTCTTCTACTTCATTACTTAGACTTGAAAGGGAAACATTAATTTCGCTTTTCTAGATGAATGTGAGTGTTTTAACTAGCTAGATAATGCTCTACTAGATAAACAATCTCTTCACGACTAGCTAAATAATATTCATACGCATCAAGGTACAACAATAACTTCACCAACCGTTCGAAAATTTCAAGTTACGGAAGATTTTTGGGGAAGCACTAGAAATAACAGTGTGCTTTTGAAATGAATCAAATTTATTATATGCACTTCAATAAAAGAGAAAATAATTCATAAATAAATTGTATATCTTTTGATGTTCTAGAGCAAGGAAGAAACAGTAAAGGAAATTAAAGCCGACGATCTTAATTCAGCACTAGAGAAGCAGGCACTCAAAGGTTTAATAGCTAAACCACAGTTGAGAAGGACATCTCTACCTACAAATCTAATGACTGTTTGACTATTTTCAATATGATAGCCAGTTCACTTTAGAGGTATAGTTTGTTAAGTTAGTTACTTATAATGCATAAGTGTTATCTTTTTTAGAATAGTCATGTTAATCATGTTTATTAACTAGACTCATGATTTGATAGAACATTTAACATGTACAGTTACTATAAGGATTATTCTGAGAAAAATAGATAAATATGAGAAAGAAAGTAAATTTGAGTTTTATATTTAGAACTAAATTTAATATTAAACTAGTTTTTATATTAAGGACCAGTTATTCAATGTTGATTAAAAAGATACAAAGCAGAGTATGTGGGTATAGAAGAAGAACATGCAAGCATAATAATAAAATTGAATGTAGATTCAACAATTATAGGCATAATTTGTCCCTACTTGTGAAATGCAGATAGGATGCAAATCTGGTGTTTCTTGTTTAATAGAACTGAGCTGGAAAATCGTTCTTTTCCCCTGTATTTAAATCACATATCTTTTCAGTCCTCTAACACTAATACTGTCTAACATTAAAATTTTAAACATTAACAAAATATTTTAAAATACTTATAGATTAAGTTTACTTTTTAAGAATAATAATAATTGACACATAAAATCATAATATGAGAGATTAAAACCGTAACAAGATAAAAGAACTAAGAAGATGTTTTATAAAATGAAACTATATGAGTGAAATATTGAATAAAGAGAGTGTTTGGGAGGTCCCATAAGCAATTTAAAAAATCAAGGCTTGTAAAATCAAGGCATAGCTTTTACCCAAACACCTCTAAAGTTGGAAGAGCAACGATGCACTTTTCTCTCTGTTTTTTTTTTTTTTTGCCAGAGCACTTTTCCTATTACTTAATTACTGTTGTTAATATGCAATGATTATTTTAGGATAAATTTCAGATAAAGAACTTAAAATTATCATTACCTAGTTCAGGCACAAAAAAATCAGAAATAACATAGAAGGAGGTAGAGCATGATCTGATATTTTGTGAATATATTCAAATGATTAAAATCCCTTGTATCAGATTTGGAAAAAAAAAAAAAGCTATCAAGCTTGTCATTATCAATCTATTTTGTGTCATTAGATGTTCAGCATTTATCATTATCATTGTTAGTATATTTTTGGTCTTTTATTATTTAACACTTGTTATTATTAGTTCACAATTTATTAACAAATTTTTTAATAAAAAAACATTTTAATGATTTAACTATATTTACAAAATAACATATTAGACACTACCTTCTTCATAATTCTAAGGTGTTAAGTGCTTGATTTGATTTGTAGCATCACATTTTTAAGTTTCTTTTTTGCTTGACATTTTCCACCTGTTTTACTTGTCATTTCCCTTTTTTTTATAATTAAAAATGTACAATTTCACATGTGAGAGAATATTTTTAAAAAATATCTACAAATTGGTTCCAGCTGTGGGAGGGCCCATGCGGATTATGAATCAATGACCGGGCTGTTCTTCTGGTGGTCCCCACCACAAGACATGCTCGTCGTATCCGACTCGTGATGATCATTGTGGCCAGCAGCAATGACTCTTTCATCATCGAAATCACATAACTGCAAATTTCGTTAAATCCTTCGTTCTTCACAAAGTGATCTTTTGTCAAGGACAACGTTAAGCAATTTACAATCTGCGAACACAGGTAAGTTCATTAATTACTTTTTCTTTTTATCTCTTGTTTACTTTCCGTTTATGTTATAAGTATGTCTCTCTTCTGCAAAAACAGGGTTGCTTCTTTTTTTTTTTTAATAATAAGTTAATTGACGTTTCTACATTGGTTTCTTTGTGTAACCACGTAGAATACGTTGTGTTTTTTATCGACGTAAAATCTTGACAAAATCATTTCCTTTGATATTACAAGCCCTCTCTCATTGACGTAAAAACTATGGTCTTGGATTGATTTTGAAAAAACTTCTTATTTTAAAAATGTTTTTTACTTTTTACAAAATGAAAAAAAACTTATTTGGTAATTTGTTTTCTTTACTTGTTTTTATTTCTGTATTTCTTCTTTTTGGTTTGTTTAGGAAAATTGGGAAATCCTTTCTTTCACGCTCGATGGCTTTTTCTCCATTTGAAGATTTGAGTTCTCATCAAAGTTTCACTCCTCTAGTCTCAATATGTTTATTTTAAAATGCAATTTTTCTGAACAATTATCAAAGCATTTTTTGGGTTTGTTTTACGTTTCCAAACCTTGTTTTATAAAATTGCTTTGGGAGAAAAAATAAAAGGCAGAAATAAACAGGCCCTAAGATTTTGGCTTTTCAATGATACTTATTTTCATTTATAGCCAAAACCAATTTTATAAATCAATGTCATAAGTCAATTATAAACAAATCCTTTCTCAAGGCGATACCTATGAATCAGTTTTATTCAAAATTGATTTTCAAACCTCTAATCCAAGCACATGTAAAAGTGCGTCAAGTTAAAACCTTCTTATCCAAACAGAATAAATTTTTTCATCGAATAAGTGATGGAATAAAATCAAAAGAATTTATTCTCATAAAAGTTATTATTCCTATCATTATTTACTTTATTTTTTATCTTCAAATTTTTCAAAGAAAACTAAAAAGTAGAAGGACATAACGTTTCAATATGTCGTATTGTCATTTATCTCTATATATTCTTAACATCCTCACCCCATTATTAGATCGATCATCTATTGTCAAAATTTAGTTGTAAATCTCATACTTGATGTCACTCCAATTGCCTTGTATTACTAATAAGTTTATCTTTTTATTTTGCAGTTTGTTCGTATTTACGTTCTTCATAGTAGCTTTTGGTTGTTTGATCGCATTGCACATCTAAAAATTAAAAAAAAAAAAATCCAAGGCATCATCCAACGGCTTTGAAATCTCCAGAGCGGAAAAAAGGTAAGTACGTCTCTGATTGTCTCCGTTTTACTGTTAATGTCCCTATTTGTTATTTGTTTTATTTTTCATTTAATATGCATTTTTTTATTAGCTTGTCCATGACTCGACCAATTATGAGAGCTAAAATATATAAATTAAAGTGTGAATGAAATCCCAAAAATTTTATTTTATTTTATTTTATTTTATGAATGATCACATAAATAAGACAACAAAATACTAGCAAGTTAATATTGAGAGCTTGTCCATTGACTTGATGCGTGTGATGGTGATATTGAGCATTGACTTGATTCGTAAAAATTTTTGAGTGGAGGAATTTTCCATTAAATATGCATGCCAATTTTAAATTAGATGTAAATTAGTGATAATACAATCTCCAATTTCTTAAGATATATACATTGTACCTCTTCAAAATAAAGAAAAGTTCATAGAAAATAGCGAGCGATATTGATTAAATGTTGTATGATAATTAGATGTCCTCAACAAATTGATCTCTGTAAACTGTTTACCAATTTTCCGATTGGTTTGTGTTTTCTTTTCTTTTTTACTTTCATATAATAATAAAAACAAAAGTGATGTATCTTAATTATATATCATGTTTCATTTTAGTCATGTAATTTTATAAAATTTATTTTTTATCCTTAAAAAAAATCAAAGGTATTCCTTTTTCTTAGCAAACTTTAATTTAAACAGTATATATATAAATTTTAAGGTCAATTCAATGATGAAATTAAACTTCATCAACCGACAGACCTAGATTAACTCTATAGATAACGACTTGGATAACAACCTAAATTTAAATGTAATGTTTTTTGCCTATGCACAGTGAATCTGTTTTTTTTTCCCATACATTATGATAATTGATTTTAATATTTCAAAAAAGATTTCAAAAAAAAATTAATTAATAATTAATAAATATCATAAAGCTAAGCAAGTTGGAGTTTTCTTTTTAAAAAAAAAAATTACGTTTGATTAATTGCATGCATATCTAATAAGTTTATCTTTTTGTTTTACAGTTTGTTCGTATTTGCGTTCTTCATAATGGCTTTTGGTTATTTGATCGCATTGTGCATCTAAAAATTTAAAGAAAAAAGACCCAAAAAAAACACTTCCCTGTCCCGCGTCCGAGGCATCATCGAACGGCTTTGAAATCTCCAGAGAGGAAAAAAGGTGAGTATATCTTTGACTGTCTCCATTTTACTGTTAACGTCCCTATTTGTTATTTGCTATATTTTTTATTTAATATGCATTTTTTATTAGCTTGTCCATGATGAGAGCTAAAATATATAAATTCAAGTGTGAATGAAATCCCAAAAATTTTATTTTATTTAAGTAATGATCACATAAATAAGACAACAAAATACTAGCAAATTAATAGTGAGAGCTGGTCCATTGACTTGATGCATGTGATGGTGATACTGAGCATTGACTTGATTCGTAAATATGCTGCAGGCCAATTTTAAATTGGATGTAACTTAGTGATAACGCACTCTCCAATTTCTTAAGATTTATACATTGGACCTTCAAAATAAAGAAAAGTTCATAGGAAATAGCGAGCGATATTGATTAAATGTAGTATGATCGTTAGATGTCTTCAACAAATGATGTCTGTAATCTGTTTACCAATTTTCCGATTGGTTTGTTTTTTCTTTTCCTTTTTACTTTCATATAATAATATAAACAAAAGTCATGTATCTTAATTATATATCATGTTTCATTTTAGTCATGTAAATTTATATCATTTATTTTTTATCCTTAAAAAAATAGTCAAAGGTTTTCCTCTTTCTTAGCAAACTTTAATTTAAACAGTATTTATGTAAATTTTAAGGTCAATTCAATAATGAAATTAAACTTCATCAACCTACAGAACCTAGATTAACTATATATAGATAACGACTTGTATAACAACCTAGAAAGTTTAAATGTAATTTTTTTTTACCTCTGCATAATGGATCTGTTTTTTTTTTTTTTTATACATTGTGATCATTGACTTTAATATTTCAAAAAAGACTGCAAAGTAAAAATTAATTAATAATTAATAAATATCATAAAGCTAAGCAAGTAGGAGTTTTTTTTTTTTCTTTTTCTGTAAATTATGTTTGATTAATTGAATGCATATATAATTTTTGTTAAGTTATAGTGTTACAGTAGACAAATAAAGAGGCTCTTAACTGTGATGGTATCATGTTCATTTTAGATGACGAGCATTGGAGAAAGTGCTGCGACAAGTATTTTCCAGAGATTAATGGATAAAACCATCAAGGAGGCTAGGTATTTTCTTGATTTTGATTATCACGTTCATAACTTTGTGATAGAAAACAACAGTTTGGCTGCAAAGCAGAAAAAAGTACTAAAAGATATTGAAGATGCCCAACGAAATGAGAACGAAATTGAAGATGAAGTTCAAAATTGGATCGAGGAAGCTGATAATCTAATTCAAAAGAACACTAAAATCAAGCAAACATGGTCTTATGGTTGGTGTCCTTATTGGAAATACCAGCAAGGGAAGAGTTTGGCAAAGAGGACGGTAATCATTAAAGATCACATCCAAAGATATAACTTTGAAAGAGTGGCTCGTCCAGGTGAACTTCCAGGTATGAAGTACCACGCTTCAAAAGACTACATTGACTTTGAGAGTAGAAAGTCAAAATTCAACCAACTTGTGGAAGCATTAGGAGGTGGAAATCATCACATGATTGGATTGCAAGGAATGGGGGGAACGGGCAAAACCACATTGGCAACACAAGTGGGCAAACAAGTTGAAGAATCCAAAGTGTTTGAGGAAGTCATCTTTGTTGTTGTGTCCAACCCTCCGGATGTTAACAAGATTCGAGGTGAAATTGCAAGGCAATTAGGTTTGCATTTAGAGGATAGAGTTCAAGAAGATCACTCCAAGCTTTTGTGGTCTAGAATTTCTAAAAATGAAAGAAAATCGCTTATAATATTAGATGATGTCTGGGAGAAGCTAGATCTTACAGTCATTGGGATTCCATCTGGACTTGATCAAAAGAACTGCTATGTTTTGATAACCACTCGCTATTTAAGCGTTTGTCGAGAAATGAGATGCCAACCAATAGTTCAACTACAAATATTGGACAAAGAGGATGCATTGCATCTTTTTCTGTTTCATGCTACAAGTGATGATGATGGTTCTTTAAGTAATGATGTGAAGGGTCTTGCGCGAGCTTTTGTGAAGGAGAGTGGGGGATTACCAGTTGCGATCATAGCACTAGCTAGTACATTAAGAAGTTGGCCCATTGCTGAATGGAATGCAGCTTTGACAGCCTTAAAAAATTCTAAGCCATTTGTTGATATTGATAGAGATTTGGTGACTGTTTATAAATGCTTGAAATTAAGTTATGATAATTTAAATGATGAGAAGGCCCGAAGGCTTTTTTTGGTTTGTTCTATTTTTCCGGAAGACTATGAAATTCCTATAAATCTTATTTTTAGACTTGGTATAGGAATTTTTGGGGAATTTGAAGAATATTGTGCAGCAAGAAGCCAAGCACTTGGAGTGAAAAATAAACTCATAGCTTCTTCTTTGCTACTGAAAGTTGAAAAGAAAGAATGTATAAAAATGCATGACTTGGTTCGTGAAGTGGCCCATTGGATAGCAAAGGAAGATATTCAAGTGATCATGGATTCAAGAATGACTTTAAAAGCAAACAAGCGATATGCGTTTTGGAGTGCCTATGATTTTCCTGATAAGTTTGATGATACAGAACTTGAGATTCTCTTTCTTTGGATAAGTGGAAGTGATCTGGTGAAAGACTCAAATGCATTTTTTGCACGAATGTCCAGGCTTAAAATCCTGTTTTTACTCAGTGAACACGGTAGAAAGGCTCCCACTCCATCATTGTCGCAGTCACTTCTTTCATTAAAGAATATTCACACTCTTATTTTGGATGGTTGGGAACTAGGCGACATCTCAGTTTTGAAGAGTCTACAAAGTCTTGTGACACTTGAGTTAAAAAATTGTCTAATTATTGAATTGCCCAAAGGCATCAAGGAACTAGAGAAGTTGAGATGGTTGGGGCTAAGGAAATGTGAGATTCAAAAGAACAATCCTTTTGAAGTGATTGAAAAATGTTCACAATTGGAAGAATTGTATTTCGTCGAGAATGACAATGTCAAAGATTGGAAGCCAGAGGATGACAAAGAAATTGAAGATGAAATTGCCTCTAATATATCTCTTTCTACATTGCAGGTTTTTTTTATTGCTTGTGATGGCTTGAAAAGTTTTACTACTAATGATGATAATGGCTTATCAAAATGCTTCAATTCAGAACATATGAAACATTTAATATCAGAAGCCATGTTTAAGTACCTTGTGGGAAGAGCAGAAGTTCTTGAGCTGGGAAATTTAGGACAAACAGGGTGGAAAAGTCTTGTCCCTGACATTATTCCTATGGAAGACGAAGGCATGGATAATTTAATGAAGCTTTACTTGTATGAATGGGCTGACATAGAGTGCGTTATTGATAGTAATAAGTGTCACTGTTGTAACATGACAGTCTTCTCAAACTTGATTGAGTTGCATCTGTATAGTGTGGATGTAAAAGAATTATGTGGGGGTGCTATGCCTCCAGGCTTTCTTGAGAAGTTACAGATTTTAAAGTTAGAGGGTTGTAGGAAACTGCAAAACATATTCTTAGATGAGACTCTCAAACTACCTCATTTGAAGGTATTGAAATTGAAAGATTGCCCAATGTTCCAACCATCAATTTTCAAACCCTCTATTGCTCAAAGTCTTGGGCGATTGGAAGAATTAGTAGTTGAACATTTTGCAGAATTGAAAAGTTTAATTGCAGATAAGAGGTCGGAAGAAGAAATGAGGGTTGTTGATGATCAAAAAAGTGATGGCTTATTGTTTCCGGCATTAGAGTCTCTTAAAATTAAAAACTGTGGCAAATTAGAAAAGGTATCTTCATTCCTTCTAGCTGGAGACCTTCCCAATTTGACAGATTTATCTATAGATGATTGCGCAAAGCTAAATACATATTCAGTGAATATAGAGGTCAAGTTGTGCAACAGGAAATCAAAATGCTCCCTTCGCTAGCAGAAGTGAAACTTTTTGGAGTACCAAGTTTCATTAACATATTTCAAAAATGCAAGAGATATGTGCTAAGGCCACCACCTCAAGTTTCGAAAGAAGATTCAAAGGAGAGACCTAAGAACTTTAAGATGAGTTCATTCTCGTGGGCTCATAGGTGTTGTTTTTTGGGCCCAACTACAGATACTAATATTGGAGTTTCCAATGGCACACTGCTAAAAGAGCCCACAATCTCACAGGTATGCTACTTTAGTCTTGCTCTTTTTGTCCAAAGGTGTTATTCTATTAATTAAACTTCCATTTTAGCATATCGTATATGAACGGTTTATATTCTCTCTTTTTTTCCCTTTTATTTACATATATTTTCATGTTTTTGTGTTATTATAATTTTATGTATGGTTTTCCTTAGTGTTTAGTTTTGATAAAGTGCACCTTTACAGTAATTTAATCAATATTTTTTTGACCAGCATAATTTAATCAATATTGTCTTTATCACAAAATTTAATTAATATTTAACATTAATTTTTCTTAAAAAAGTAGTCTATATTTAACTCCTTGGATGTTGGGGGGCTACCTGCGTCCTTTCTGAATAGCGGAAAAGAAATTCCGCTTGTTTAAATCAGTTTTCTTTTGATATTTAAAATGCTCATAGTCTCAACTTAATATTCATTATTTTGGACTATTTATATTTGTTTGATGCATATTGATATACCAACATTTCATATTCTCGATTTAAACTTTGAGATCTATTTTTGTATCTCAGAAATTTCAATAAACTGACGTGATATTTTAATTACACTAAATTTAATGTCAATTTGTCTAACATTAATCTTTTTATTGCAGTAAAAATTAAAGACAAAGGTAAAATACTCACACGCACGCACGAATAGTGATAATAGGTAGCATATGATTAACATGAGCAGGAATTTTGGTTAATTCAATGTTTTATTTTTTTTATTTTTTATTTTTCTATTATTTGACTAGTATCAGGGGCATGGAAGTTATTAGTTGAATACTTATAAATCACATTTTATTTTTTAAGGCATGTCGATCTAATAACACAGGGGAGATGTGGTAATATAACTATTGCCAATTGATTGGTTTTATTGAAAGTGTGACATGGCACTTCTAATGTGACGACGAAGTAAGTGAATCTGATCTTTAGAGAAACTGTGAGAGAAAAAAAATGATAAGTCATGTTTGTTTTTACTTGTTTGTTCTTTTCGTTTAATTTATATGAGAGTCATGATAGGCCATATTTATAGTCTTTTTTTCTTTATACATATTTTTAATTTTTTATTTTGTTATAATTTTATGCATCGGTTCATCAGTATTAAGTTTTGATAAAAACGGTCATTTAAATAATATTTTCTTTATAAAAATTTAATTAATCTTTAATATTAATTTTTCTCAAAAAATTAGTCTATATTTAAGTACAGATTTTGACCCAATTAATGATTTTTTTTTTTAGGTTTGTGTACATGACAGAAAGCTCTTGGAAAAAAAATAAAATTATTTCTAGTGAAGTAAATTTAAGAATCTTGAAAGAATACAAATCAAATGTAAAATCGGATACCACAAGCGATTAAAAAAAAAAGGAATTCTTCTATGCATTAAATTGAAAAAAGTAATTTTATGTTTTGTAATTACTCAATTTTTCTACAGCTGTAATATTTATCAATAAAATAAGTCTTCATCAGGATTCATACAGCAGTTATATTAATTATTTTCTTAAGTGCACTAAATTAAGGAATATATATATGCTATCAAAACACAAACACGCACGGCTTTCGTCTTGGGTTGGAACTACACACACTCGATTTTTTTATTTCAGTAAAAATTAAAGAGAAAAATAAAAATTCACACGCACACGTGAATAGTGATAACATGCATGTCATTAACATGAGTAGGGATCTTGGTTCTGCACACACTCGATTTTTATTTTTATTTTATTTTCTATTATTTGACTAGTAGTGTGGGCATGATGTTACCAATTGAATGCGTTAAAAATCAGAGTCCTATGATACATGATGCTTGACAAACTTCTTTATATTTAATGTATTTTCTGATACATTAATTCTTTTTCGGTTCATCTATGTTATAATGGGATTGTTATTGAGATATATGATCATATGATAGAAAGTGATTAGTTATATAACTAAGTTGAATCTAAGAGAAGTGATTGGTTGTAGGAATCATGTGTATTGAGTGAAAGGATGAAACATTTCATTCAGCTGAGTGTCTTATGAGACAACCATTGAGCCTACAAAATATAAGGCAGATGAGGTTTCTTGGATGTTCAAAATTAAAGTCACTATTCAGTGTATCCATTGCCACAACCATCATGTTGGAGTATCTGTATGTTGAGGATTGTGAAGAATTGAAGCACATTATAACAAATGAGGCAGAGGATGATGATGTCCATCTCAACTGCACCTCCATCTTCCCAAAACTACAGAGACTCGCTGTTCAGCGTTGCAATAAATTGGAATTTATATTTCCATCCACTCTTTCCGGAGGTCTTCAAGAATTAAAATCTATATTTATTTGGGGAGCTCATGAGCTGAAATATGTTTTTGGAAAATACGATGATGAAGAGTGTCTATCAAATGAGCATGAAAATAATGAGCCTCACATTCATCTTCCAGCATTGGAATCACTACACCTCAATGATGTACCAAACATGATGAGCATTGGTATCAAGAAACATCAACCGGAATGCCCATCTCTACAGATTGTGGAAGCACCAAAGGTACGTACCTATTTTTAATTATTATTTAATCAGGTCTCAATCTTGCTCTGTTTTTTGCATGAAAACATTTTTTTTCCCATTTATTCTCTTTTAAAATTTTAACTTTAAACTTTTATGTATAACTATTATGGGTCATCCGGCTTTCAGTTTATGTCAAAATGCAATTTATCAATATTTTTATGTATCTTGTATAAGGATTATTTTATACTCGTAGAAGACAAACAGGTATGACTTCCATCTCGGTTGTATATAGTAATTCTGTTCATTTTCAATTAGTTAGTTTTTGAATTGTTTTAGCTGGTACCTAACAGGAATCGAACTAAAACAATTTGATCTTTAAATGCTCACACTCCTAATTTAATATTCATTATTTTGGAATATTTGTATTTGTTTGATGTCTCCTTTTATGCCCCAAAATTACGGATAAATTGAGGCAGGGGAACCTCCTTGCTCTTCTTTCAACTTTGTCATCATTATATAAAAACTAACGTCTTCTTAAATATTATTATAATCTTACTTAAAAAATACCTGAAGAAATTTAAACTATTAAATTTGATTTGAATAGTTCATAACTGTAGCAAAAAAAGTGAGAAAAAATATGCTTTATAATCATAGTTTACAAATTACAATTGAAAAATGATAAGATTAAATTTTAACCGTTTTAACTTATTTATATATTTTATATAAAATTGTAATAATATTTTTATAAAATGTTAAATCTATACCAATTGCTTAATTTTATACTCACGTAATTACTCGATTTTCCTACAACTCTAATATTGATTAATAAGATAAGCCTTTAGATTACATATATTATCAGATATTATATATTGTGGGGTTACATGCACCCTAACCGTTTTTGAATGGCCAAAAAGAAATTCTATTGGTTTAAAATTTGATGTCTATTTTGTACCTCAGAGTCTTAGATAAGGTGAAGTAATATATTAATTATTACACTCAATTTAATGTCAACTTCTCTAACTCTGATCTTTTTATTTCAGTTTAAATCAAAATGCACTTTATCATCATTTTTATTTTGTATAAAGATTATATGTAATAAATTATATATTGCTAACAAAATATTTAAACATTCTCAAAACAATGAAGACTTTCATATAATTTTCCTATGGAGACATGTACAATTAATTATGTCAAAGTGATTCGGCTTTACTCCTATAAAGATTTCAATTTTGAATTTAAAATATTTTCCAAAAATAATATAGTGTGTTTGTGTTTTGTGGGTGAATGTGTATGTATTTCATAAGCACATGGATCAAAATAGAGAACATTATTTTAAATTTTGAATTGCCTTTTTGTGAAAACGTGTTGTAGGAAATTAAGAAGCACGTGGAAGATATGAGCAATGAGGGAGCAAATGAATCTGAAATACAAGAGATTGTTAACGTCGAAATACCACTACTCACTCCAAGTGTGGGCTTTCAACATGTTCTCAACTTCCACAATCTAAAAGAAATAACAATCTCAGGAAACCAGAAGTTGAAGATTTTGTTCTCTGTCTCTGCTTGTAGAAACCTATCGCAGTTGTCTGAATTACAAGTATGGAATTGTGAGGAATTAGTTAATGTGGTTGGAGATGATTCTAATAATCATCATCATGACATGAACTATAGCTTCATTTTCCCAAAACTGGAGGATCTAACAATCGGCAATTGCAACAAGCTGGAGTTTATATTTCCTCCGTCTCTTTTTGGTGCTCTTCAAAAATTAAAATCTTTGAATATCTGGAGTGCTACTGAGTTGAAATACATTTTTGGAAAATATGATGATAGAGATCATTTATCAAATACAATTCATCTCCCTGCTTTGGAAACACTATCACTTAGAGATGTACCAAAGTTAATCAACAATATTGGTGCCAAAAAATATCATCTTAGCTTCCCGTCCTTACAAAGCATTAATTTGGAGGGTCTTCAAGAGTTCAACGGAAGGTTTTTTCCAGATTTTGTGGCTTATTTACAAGGAATACAATTGAATGTGAAAGCTCCAAAGGTAACACATTTGACTTCTTGTTCTATGATCTGCATATTGCTCTGTTTATTTGGATTGCTTAGCATTTAAACTTGAACATCAAGAACATATTTTAATGCTTAAAAAATTTTCATGTCAAGACATGAAACAACTAAATTTTCATACATAAAAATTTATAATTTACTTTTCACTTATAAAAATTTTCTTTTCATCAATATATATGTGCGCACACATACCTTTAATCAAAATCTTACAGAAGACGTTA